GCCACTGCACTCCAGTCTGGGCAACAGAGTGAGACTCCAACTCAAAAAAAAAAAAAGTTATAATTCATAAGAAAAAAAGATATAATTAACATAATATTTTAAAGTATCCTTCTCTATATCTACAATATTACCACAGTTTTGCAGCCATCACCACAATCAATTTGAGAACATTTTCATCACCTTCCTCCCCCCAAAAAGACCCATACCCATTCACAGTCACACCCGGTCCTCGAACTCTGATGGCTACCAATCTACTTTCCACCTCTATGGATTTGTTCTGGACACTTTCTGTAAGTGGAATCCTGTGACATACAACTCTCCATGACTGACTTCTTTCACTCAGCCTGGTGGTTTTAAGGTTTACCCATGTTGCAGCAGATGTCAGTGCTTCATTTCTCTTTTTATGGCTGAGTAATAATAGTCCTTTGTATGGACAGACCACCTTTAGTCTATCCACTCTTCATAGAGGGAGATGAGGATTGCTTCCACTTCTTTGCCTATGATGAATAATGCTGCTGTGCACATTTTGTGTATAAGTTTTTGGTCATATATGTGTATTTAGTAGTGGGCCATATGGTAACTATGTCTAATTTTTTTTGTCACTCCATTTGTGACAAGTATCCATCCTTCTTATTTAGAGGGCTCCTGTCAGAAGCACTAACATAGAAGAATGCCATTGATTTGTTTGCTTGTTTGTCCATCCATTCACTCATCTGTCTACTCAGGACTGTCTAGGCAACACCATCAGGACCCGGCCAAACAAGGTCCAGGCAAGAGACAACCAGATGGGGCCCCTGCTTCTAAGAACCTTCCAGTCTCCTGCGGAGACTGACAGAAAAGCCAACATTTATAACCAGGGCGTAATAGAGACAGTGCCCATGAAAGCGTGGACCCTCAGGGTTTCTGATAGCTGGGATCGAGTACTCCCAGGCTTCAGTGAGGCCCCAGCCCAGCCGACACCAGGCACCTGCACATGACCCACCAGCCTTGCCCCTGCCCCCCCTCCCTGCCCATCCCTGTCATGCCCATTCCAGCTTGTCCTCCTGAAGCACAGGCTGCCTCCTGTTCTCACCTTGGCAGTGAGTATCCCTGCGCTTCACATGATACAGGCTGACTGTGTGCTGAGCCCTCCCCAGTGCCACCACTGTGCCCTGAGCCGCCTCCTGTCTTCTTGAAAGCCCTGGTTATGCATGCTGACTCTCTCGACAGTTTCCCTGTGAGAATGGGTGTCCTTATGGGCAGGAGGCCCCTGTAACTGTCTCTCTCCCCTGGGCCTTGCTCAGCTATGTACAGATGGTGTTCCAGAGATACTTGTGGATGAAAGAATGAATGAATGAACAAGATAATGATGTGATGGTATTGCTCTGTTCAGGGCCCCTGACAGTAGTTCTGTCTGCCTGCCCTCCTTGGGGTGCTGGGTCATGACCAGTGCCTTGTGTGTGTCGGCACAGGGTCGGCAAGCTGGTAGACACCAGCATGGACATTCAGGCCATCCAGCTCCCAGCCCTGCAGTACCAGCACGAGAGGCGGGCAAGCGACTGGGCCGTGGACAGCAACCTGTGTGGAGTGATGGACCCCACCGATGGCATCGGTGCCCTCATCGAGGAAGAGTGTACCACTGTCAAGCTCAACACTGGGGTGAGCTCTCAGGTGGGGGTGCAGGAGGGACGAGTCCTGAGCCCATCATGTGAGCTGACACAGAGGCAGACATGGGCTTTGCAGAGGGTGGGTTACAGCTCGTGCCCTGAGGGTTGGCTGAAAGAAGGGAAAATGGGCACGTTTTAATAGAGCAATTGAAATTGTTCATTCTAATTGGGGCACAGTGCTCCACCTGCCTGGGCCCAGTCTGGTGATGACAGGGCTTTATAGCAACCTGACCAGGTAGGGGCAGTACTGTTCACACTTCACAGATGGGAAACTGAGACCCAGGCCCAAGTTGAATAGCACATGCCAGAGCTAGGTCTGGTCCCTAGTCAGCCTAACCCCAAAGCTCTGGCACTCTCTGCACTCTGAAGACCATGAGCAATGTTAGGAATAAGGGCAATCAGTGCAGGCAGGCGGGGGAGGTTTGTCTGTCTGCTTACTGGTGAGTTGGGCCAGGGTGCCTGCATGATTGTGTCTCTGTGGAGTTGAGGAAGGTAGGGGTATACAATTGGTCCCCTAATGTCCTGTGACAATTGAACAGTGCCAGCCCTCCTCGGAGGCTGTTGTGAGACCCCGACAGCTGGTGTGCAGGCCCACGTGGGGACCTGCAGGGATGTGTGCATGCATGCCCTCTACATAGTCTACCAGGCTCCTCCAGGCTAGTCTCACCCAGGGCAGTACCTGTGCTAGCAGGCAGGAGTCAGATGTTGGCACCACTCAGTGTATCCCCTCTGCTGCAGCTTGCCCTGCACTGTCAGCAGTTCTGGGCCATGTTCCTGAAGAAGGCCGCGTACAGCTGGCGGGAATGGAAGATGGTGGTGGCCCAGGTCCTGGTCCCTCTAACCTGCATCACCCTGGCACTGCTAGCCATCAACTACTCCTCAGAGATCTTTGATGACCCTCCCCTGAAGCTGACCTTGGGCGAGTATGGCAGAACTGTGGTGCCCTTCTCTGTTCCTGGGACCTCCCGGCTAGATCAGCAGCTGTCAGAGCATCTGAAGGACATGCTGCAGGCAGAGGGGCAGGAGCCCCGCGAGGTGCTCGGTAAGGGGTGTCTGGGGCTCAGGGGTCACAGCACTGTTTACCCCCGGGCTGGGTGGCTCTTGGCTGTTCCCTGCACTGGGATGTTCAGCAGCCTCCCTGGCATTGCCCCACCCCTTGTGACAATCAAAAATGCCTCCAGATATCACCAGGCATCATGGCACTGAGTCAGAGGAAATGCTCTGGGGGTGCCAGAGACACTAGCACATCCCTAGGGCCAAACTTAGTCAGGGTCTATTTACTGAAACTGTGTCTCTCAGGGCCATTCTAAGCAAGATGCCAAAGTGTGGTGATCTCTGTCACCTCTTCTCTGTTTCTAGGCTGGCCACAGTGTGCCTTCCTGTGACATGGTGTTTCTTCCAATATCTTGAAACTCACAAATATCTCTAGTCTTTGGCAGTCATGGTTGGATATTGCCCTGGGGTTAGAATAGAGACTGTACTTTGGCTCAATGAAACGTGCTGAAAGATTTTCTCACTTTGCTGTCCCCCCTCCCTTTCTGACCAGCAACTTTGAGGCTCAGCATACCGAATGACAACAAAGTCTTGGCAGAAATTAGGTTCTTCTCAGGAAGAAGCTGACCATACAGGCAGCTCAGGGCATCCCCCCTCCCTTTCTGACCAGCAACTTTGAGGCTCGGCATACCGAATGACAACAAAGTCTTGGCAGAAATTAGGTTCTTCTCAGGAAGAAGCTGACCATACAGGCAGCTCAGGGCATGACAGCACCACGATGGGCACTGCTGGTCAGGCGGGAGCCCCTCAGCCTGGAGTCCCAGCTTGGCTGTGCCACCATCAGGTCCCTAATTAGCTGAGTCAGCAGTGGACACCCCTATTTGTCACCTCCTTTGTCCCCTGATTTTGCCATTCTCCCCAGGTGACCTGGAAGAGTTCCTGATTTTCAGGGCCTCAGTGGAGGGGGGCGGCTTCAACGAGCGGTGCCTCATAGCAGCATCCTTCCGAGATGTAGGAGAGCAGACGGTCATCACCACCCTGTTCAACAACCAGGCATACCACTCCCCAGCCGCTGCCCTGGCTGTCGTAGACAACCTTCTGTTCAAGCTGCTGTGTGGCCCTCATGCCTCCATCGTGGTCTCCAACTTCCCCCAGCCTCGAAGTGCCCTGCAGGCCGCCAAGGACCAGTTCAGCGAGTACGTGCATTGCCCCCACCCACCCTGTCAGAACCCCCCCACCAGGACTGACCACCCTGGGCACTGCCAAGATCCCACAGACGGACAAAGCATCGCTTCTGCCCTGCCACACCCTCTCCAGTCATCTGTACCATCCTTCCCTGCAACAGCAGATCAGCTATGGGGCCCATCCCACACACCTCGGTTCTCATGGGACCTCTGAGGGCTGGGTGGGCCTTCTCTTCCCAAATCCATACTCGGCTCCTGCCAGCCATGGGCCTCACCCTGTTCTGCTCTCTCCAGTGGGGTAACCAGGTATGGCCACACCCCAGCACGGTGCCCACTGTGCACGTGAGCTGAGGTGATGGAGGGTGAGCACAGCAGGGCTCGGAGCTTGGCGAGGATCCATGTCCCTGTCCTTCAGGTGCTATGCACCAGGAGCCTTGTCATGCCATTGTGTGGATAGGGCTGTCCCTTACCCCAGTTGCTGAGCTCCACAACTCTGGGAACCACCAGAGGAAGCCACAAATTCTGTTACTTTCAGAACATTCACTCCACTTCAGGGCAGCGTCATCTCCACCTCCCATCCCAGGCTGTGCCTGGACCTTGAGACATCTACATCCCCTTCTGCCAGCTCCCTCCCGCCCTGAAAGCAGGAAAATCTCATGGCCCTCTGCTGTTCTCCCTTCTGCAGACACAGGGCCTCCTGATGACACACAGAGCACCGGCAAGGCTCCCCTTGAGCCCCCTGGAGAACTCCAGGAAGGAGACGGGGCTGAAGGGGCTGTAAGCAGCCTTGGGGGGCTGTACAGCTACCCTGCCTGGTAGGAGGCCCCAAAGTCAGGCTGAGGGGTTTGGACTCATTGACAGTGGACCAGGCAGGAAGATTTTTTTGTTATTTTTTAACAATTTTAGGAGATATAATTCACTTACCATTCAACTTACCCACTTATAGTGGACCACTGAATGCTTATTAGTAAATTCAGAGTGTGAGGCCATCACCAGAGTGTAACTTCATTGAACGCTTTCCTCACTGCAGAAAGAAACCGCAACCCCATCAGCAGTCACTCCCCATCGCCCAGCTCCCAGCCCCAGCAACTGCTCATCTGCTTTGTCTCCAAGGACTTGCCTATTGTAGAAGCTTCATGTGAATGGAATCATATAATACAAGCCCTTTTGTGTCTGATTTCTTTCACTTAGCAAGATGCTTTCAAGGTTCATCCATAGTGCAGCATTACTGCTTCATTCCTTTTTTTATTTTTTGCCAAATACTGTTCCATTGTCCCAGTACCATTTGTTGAAAGAGTCAAGAGTCAAAAATAATGCCACCAGAGCCTGTTTCTGGAAGGTGTAGCTGGCAAACATAGAATGAATCTCATAGGATGCACCTGGGAGAGGGAGTTTAGCTATGGCAGTGATCCAGGTACCTGACAATGGGTCTGACCTGGGGCAGCATAGGGAGATTGAGGCAGAGTCCCCACAGGAGAAATGGGAAAGGCAGTGCAATAGATGGTGCTATCCCCAGTGTATGTGGAATGGGGGGCTCAGGGAGAGTGATGCTGCCATCTATCAGAACAGGAAGTCTAGAGGAAGAGCCATCTTTGGGGAGACCCTCATGACACTAGCATTCTCACTCAGCCCCCTTCAGCAGCTTGGCTACTACCCTGCATGCTTTGGGCAGTAATGACCAAAGACCTGACCTTTCCTGTCACACAGATATGCTATGCTCTGTCCCTGACCTGCTCTGTCCCCCACAGGGGCCGGAAGGGATTTGACATCGCCCTCAACCTGCTCTTTGCCATGGCTTTCTTGGCCAGCACATTTTCCATTCTGGCGGTCAGCGAGAGAGCCGTCCAGGCCAAGCATGTCCAGTTTGTGAGCGGAGTCCGTGTGGCTACTTTCTGGCTCTCCGCCCTGCTGTGGGACCTCATCTCCTTCCTTGTCCCCAGTCTGCTGCTGCTGGTGAGCTCTGGGGTTGCTGGGATCCTCCCCTTGCAGACCGCAGGGGGTTTGCTATGGGGACCCCGTGCAGACCAGAACCAGCCAGGAAGCCTGGGCAGGCAGCTCAGCTCACCCCAAGAGGTTGGTCGGAAATGCCAGGGCAGTTCCTACCTCGTCGCCTCTCTACACCCCCAGCCTCTTGGGTGGGCATTGCCCTGAGCATCCGCCCTGGTCACGGCTCCATTTGCAAAGGGGAGACGTAGAAACTGTTGGGCAGAGGGGCCCAGGGCTGAAAAACACTGCAGGGGTCAGACACGGCCTGCTGGGCTGATGGGCCTGGCTGATGAACGAGGGTCTCAGAACCTCCCTGCCTGCCCCTTCCTGCCCTGTGAGCTGCTTGCAGCTCTGCGCACATGCCAGCCCCTCATCTGTGCTGCCACAGGTGGTGTTCAAAGCCTTTGATGTGCACGCCTTCACACGGGACGGCCATGTGGCCGATACCCTGCTGCTGCTGCTGCTCTATGGCTGGGCCATCATCCCCCTCATGTACCTGATGAACTTCTTCTTCTCGGGGGCAGCTACTGCCTACACGAGGCTGACCATATTCAACATCCTGTCGGGCATTGCCACCTTCCTGATGGTCACCATCATGCGCATCCCAGGTGGGCACCTGGTAACCACCCCATGTCACGTGGCCACCCACAGAGCCACTCCGCCCCGACAGGGAGGCACCAACCATGGGCAGAGACATGACTTGGGCACTGGGCCCCAGCCATGCTTGCTAGTCCCTTGCCCAAGGTGGTCCTGCTTAGCTAGCTGTGGCAGGCAGCCATCGGCAGTGTCTCCTCCATGCGGCTCTGGCAGAGCCGGCAGGGATCGCCCCCAGGAGATGCCGCCTCGCTTGGCACAGCAAGGTGTGCCCTGTCCATGACCCTGTCCACGAGGTGCCTCGGGATGCCTAGAGACCTGCCCTTTCCTGACCATATCTGTCTTCACGGGGCTGGGGTGATGTGCCCTCCTGCACTGACTGGTCTGTACCTCCTCACTGCAGCAGTAAAATTGGAAGAACTTTCCAGAACCCTGGATCATGTATTCCTGGTGCTGCCCAACCACTGTCTGGGGATGGCAGTCAGCAGCTTCTACGAGAACTACGAGACGCGGAGGTACTGTACCTCCTCTGAGGTCGCCGCACACTACTGCAAGAAGTACAGTGAGTATCCCCACCCCTCCCGGTAGCCCCCAACTCAACTTTTACCACACGAGCAAGAGCATCCTCAGAACATTGTGACTGCAGAGGGGTTTCTCCTGCTCAGGGCACCCCTGTTCCTAGCCACCTGGCGCTTGTGCACTCGTCCACATGACCCCACCTCCCCACACCAGCCCTGGCCCTGCCTATGACCCAGGCTCTGTACTGTGCTTCTGCCTTCTCCATCTGCCTCAGTGTCCTGTTACACAGAACCACGCACCAGGGGCCTTAGACAACAGAAATGATACTTCTCATACTTCTGGAAGCCAGATGTCCTACATCAAGGGGCAGACAGGACTGTGCTCCCACCATAGGCTCCTTCTTGCTTCTTCCAGCTCTGGGTGGCCCCAGGCATGCCTTGGCTTGTGGCCACATCCCCCAGTCTCTGCCTCTGTCTTTGTATGGCTGTCTCCTCTATGTCTCAAACCTCCTTCTGCCTTTCTCTAACAAAGACACCTGTCATTGGATTGAGGGGCTGCCCACCCCAAATGCAGTATCTCACCTCGAGACCCTTAACTAATTGCATCTCCAAAGACCCTATTTCTAACCAGGTTCACACTCCCAGGTTCAGGGGCCACCCTCAGCCCACCACACACCCCTTCCAAGCCTGGAGTGGTCTCCAGCCTGCATCTGCCCAGGGTCCCCTCTGCAGAGCCCCATTGTCTCAGGCAAACCATCTGTCTGCCCCGATCACTCATGGAACTGCATTTTTGATTGCTTGTGACACGCCTGTACCCTCTCTACACCACGGGTGCCTCGAGAGGGAGCACGACGCTTTCGTCTTCACTTCTCCACACAATGCCCAACTCAGGGAAGCGGGCATGTGGGCAGTGGACGAGGGTGGGATGGTTCCCTGGCCCTGGGTGTATGGGGTGCCTTGCATGGCCAAATCCCCGTGAAGCAGGGGATGTACTTCAGGCTCCACGTGGCATTGACAAGCAGGCTGCCCTTGGCAAAGGCACTGTGGCGCCTCCATGGAGGGGACCCGGGCACAGATGCCTTGTCTAGCCGATGAGGGGAGCAAGGACCCAGGAGGGGAGGAGAGCACCCCAGGCTGCAGGTGCAGCATGTCTCCCTTGCCCCCACAGACATCGAGTACCAAGAGAACTTCTATGCCTGGAACACCCCAGGGGTTGGCAGGTTTGTGGTCTCCATGGCAACCTCTGGGTGCACCTACCTCATCCTGCTCTTCCTCATTGAGACCAACCTGCTGCGCAGACTGAAGTCCTTCTTCTGTGCCTTCTGGAGGAGGCAGACGTTGGTGAGTGGGGAGTGGGTTGGTGAGTTGGTGATTTGGGGATGCAGAGCAGGGACCCACACACCAGGGGGTTGCCTCTGCCTTCCTCTCTTCACCTGGCAGCTCATGCACCTGGGCAGCCCCTCCACAGTGGTCAGGCTTCCTCACCAGCATGCGAGTCCTCAGCGCCCAGCATGGTCAGAGCCATAGTGCACCATCAGCACTCATGGCCTGAGGAAGGGAACCTGGCCTTCACCACTTACAAGGGCTGTCGAATTCCAAGTCCTGATGCTGAGGAGCAGTCTGCCTGGGGCCATCCTTCTCAGCAGAGACGGTACTCAGGGCCACCCAGTACCCAGAGGAGGGAGACATAGGGCCCTGATGGGTGCTCCACACATTTATCACATGTCTATAAAAACATTCAGTCAGTCCAGGTACAGTGGCTTGTGCCTATAGTCCCAGCTAGTTGGGAGGCTGAGGTGGGAGAATTGCTTGAGCCAGCAATTTGAGGCTTCAGTGAGCCATGATTGGCCCACTGCATTCCAGCCTGGGAGACAGAGTAAGGCCCTGTTTCTTAAAAAGCAAAAAGAAAACAAACAAAAAAGTTCATTTTTTCAGATATATTTTCAGCCTCCATCCCCTCCCTCAAACAAACAAAACAAATCTGTTGACATTGCACTGCACAAATAGATTAACCCAGGTAAATCAGCTTCTTTAAAATATTAAGACTTCTCTAAAGGGGAGTTTTTCTCCATGTATTAAAATCTTTTACATCCCTCAGCAGGGTTTTGGTTTGCTCCATGAGTCTTGCACAGTGCTGGTTCCTCAGGTAGTCTATCTTTCCTGGATGCTAATTGGACCCCAGAAGGCCATGCGTGTCTTCTGTACAAGATTGGAGTAGCATATGTGGGGCCTGAATCATGGCGAGAAGCCTTGGAGACCTGGTCCCACCAGAAACTCCCATTTGACCCCTGCCCCAACCCTTCTCCCAGGGAAGAGGGCCTGGGTCCACTCGTGTGGTCTTTGTCTTAAAAAATTAGACAGAATTGTACACCCGGATGTCCGTACTTCCTGAGGACCAAGATGTGGCAGATGAGAGGAGTCGCATCCTGGCCCCCAGCCTGGATTCCCTGCTTGACACCCCTCTGATTATCAAGGAGCTCTCCAAGGTACTGCCACAACAAGGGAGGGCCTTCCTGCCCCCAGGCCAGCCATGGGTTCTGCCCCACACCAGAAGCAGAGGGCTGTTCTGGTCTGTTCCCAGCCCCCCCATTCTGGTGTTTTCCTTCGGGTGCCTCCAGGTGTATGAGCAGAGGATGCCCCTACTGGCGGTGGACAAGATCTCCCTCGCAGTCCAGAAGGGGGAGTGTTTCGGCCTGCTGGGCTTCAATGGGGCCGGGAAGACCACGACCTTCAAAATGCTGACTGGGGAGGAGAGCATCACTTCTGGGGACGCCTTTGTTGGGGGCCACAGCATCAGCTCTGACATCGGGAAGGTGGGTGCAGCCAGGGAAGTGTGGGGGCTCCTGGGTGCAGGGATGGAGCTGGTCTTGAGCTCATAGTGGTTAGAGCACATGCTTGTGGGTAGCAGGACAACTGACTGGGCCAGGGCTAAGCAGGTGATAGGGAGGAGAGTGATGGGTGCCAACACCGCGAGCCCTGAGAGGTGCATTTGCCATTACCACTGAGAGAGGTGCAACCTCTGCCCAGAGGCCATTTTTTGTCCAGCCAACTTGGGTGTGGTTTTAGAGGCCTTGTTAGTGAAGGTACAGAAGTGAAGTACCCAATCCAGTTACCCCCACATTGGGCCAGACCCCACAGGTTCCCCAGAGAGGAAGGATGAACCAGGGAACCTCAAGGAAGGCCCCAACAGAGCGGGGGCAATAGAAAATCAAGAAGCTTGGACCTGAGAAGTGGCAAAGTCCCCTCCTGAGCTGGCGGCAAGAGTTCTGGCCTGCAGGGCCCTCGGGCTGAAGCACACTCAGGCCCTCTCCAGAGGAAGGCCTCATCCTAGGCCACAGAGCCTCCCTTAAACAGCATTCCAAGGCCTACAAGCCACATACAGCAAAGAAAGGAGAGGGTGCCATAATGAGAACCCACAGACACAAGGCCCCACAGTAGGAACAGACCCACAGACTTCAGATTTGTGGTTGTTAGGCCCATATCATAAAATAAGTACCACATTTAAGGAAATAAGTGATGCAATTGGAATTACATGCAGGGGAGAGAAAACTGTATATGATCTAGAAACCGAGTGAGAGAAGTCCTCAGGACATTTCATCTGAGTTCTAGAAGGAAAGGAGAGAGAGTCGGGGAAGGCAACAGCCCGAAAGATCTTGGCTAAGACTTTCCCCAAACTGATTAAAAGCAGCTTCTGGAAGCCTAAGGGACCAGGGAGGGTAAAGAAAAGGAAATCCAGTCTGGAATCCATGGGACCCAGGCACTCCTGCCCCCATCAGCTGCCCAAGGCAGCAAATGACAAGTCGGGCAAATGACATTTGGTGCGCCCATGTGCCCTGGGAGGCCACGTGGCATCCTGGCTCTTCTGGGTGGCCACTTGCACAGGGATCAGCTGCTGTGCCACCTGAATAAGTGACGCTCACCAGGTCACAGAGCCTCCCTTAAACAGCATTCCATGCTGGGGACAGGGGCAGGGGCCTGAGACAGGGCTGGGGATACCAAAGACTTGTGCAGACAGGAAGTGTCAATGCTGATGCCAGCATACTTTCTCAGAGGCGAAGCAAGGCCCCAGCACATTGGGTGTTTCTTATGTACCTAGGAGTGAACGAGCAGGTGACTGGCTCTGAGCCATGCAGTCTGGCTTCTATGCAAAATTTGTGTGGTGACCACTTTGTGTAGCCAGCAAAACCATTCTTACACCAGCGTGACCCCATGGCTGACCCCTGGCTGGCCCATCTCTCACCTCAGCGTGGGGCCTGGAGGGCGCATCTTAGAGCAGGTCTGGGAGCCTCCTGAGCCAGCCAAGTCCTTCCGTGTGCCCGTTGATACACTGCTCAGCCAGCTTCAGCTGTGGGCAGCCACAAGGACCTGTGCACAGTCCCATGGATACCCCTGGACACACATGGGAAGAGACAGAGACGGGTTTAGGGATGGACACCATGGAAAGCAGTCCCTGTGGTGCTCTGGAGGAAGGAGGCTCTGCTTCCGACGTGCCTTCCTCCTGGACTGCATTCTGACCCCAGGTGCGGCAGCGGATCGGCTACTGCCCGCAGTTTGATGCCCTGCTGGACCACATGACCGGCCGGGAGATGCTGGTCATGTACGCCCGGCTCCGGGGTATCCCCGAGTGCCACATCGATGCCTGTGTAGAGAACACTCTGCGGGGCCTGCTCCTGGAGCCACACGCCAACAAGCTGGTCAGGACATACAGGTGCGACCTGTACCCAGCCCTGCCCCCTATGGGAGATGCCCTCTCAGGGTAGAGTTGGGTCTCCGTAGCATAGAGCTGGGAGGACTGAACATGTCAGCAACCTGAGCGCCCGCCCATGGCTCCAGGATTGAGCAGGAGTTTGGCAGCATGACCCAGGCAGCGTCAGGGGAGGGGCTGACTTGTGGTTCCTGCCACCTGGAGACAAAGCTGTCAAGGCCCCTGTCAGGCCCCCTTGAGCTCTATGTGGTGGGCTTTCCAGGCACGCTCACCTGCTTCATCCTCACGGGGGTGCTCTGCACTTGCTGGGCACGGGCCTCTGCTGGGATGCAGGGAGCCAATGCCAATGTTCAGCCTTGCCCCTCCCTGCACCCTCTGCCCCCAGCGGGGGTAACAAGCGGAAGTTGAGTGCTGGCATCGCCCTGATCGGGGAACCTGCCGTCATCTTCCTGGACGAGCCATCCACAGGCATGGACCCCGTGGCCCGGCGCCTGCTCTGGGACACCATGGCACGAGCCCGCGAGTCCGGCAAGGCCATCGTCATCACCTCCCACAGGTAGAGCCTGGGGCTGTGCAGGTCGTTGGAAGAGTCAGAACTAGGTGGGCTAGGGAAGAGCCAGGTGGACAGGAGATTCCCCAGGCTCTGCTTGTGAGCCACACTCTGCACACGGGAATCAGAAACGGCCTGGTCTGGGCATTGACACTTCCTGTCTGCACAAGCCTTTGGTATCCCCAGCCCTGGCTCAGGCCCCTGCCCCTCTCCCCAGCATGGAGGAGTGTGAGGCCTTGTGTACCCGGCTGGCCATCATGGTGCAAGGTCAGTTCAAGTGCCTGGGCAGCCCCCAGCACCTCAAGAGCAAGTTCGGCATCGGCTACTCCCTGCGGGCCAAGGTCCGAAGTGAAGGGCAGCGGGAGGCGTTGGAGGAGTTCAAGGCCTTCGTGGACCTGACCTTTCCAGGTATGTGCTGGCCCTGGCAGCGCTAGCTGGGTGGCCCGGGGCCCCTGACTCGGCCTCTCCCAGCTCCTGCGCAGAGCATCTGTGCCTCGCCCCAGCCAAGTCCCATCTCCTCGACTCTTGGGATGAAGGCCCTGGTTTCGTGTGCTCAGGCTGCCCCCCAGTCTGGCCCTCACAGGGTGCGATCTCTCCACTGTGCAGGCAGTGTTCTGGAAGATGAGCACCAAGGGATGGTCCATTACCACCTGCCCAGCCACAACCTCAGCTGGGCAAAGGTGAGTGCAGTCCTTGGGGGCCCCCACTGGCACATGTCAATGAAGTCCCTTCAGAGGTCTCTCCGTGAGGATTCCTGGCTCTTTCCATTTCCCCTCTAACACTCACCCTAATACCTGCTGGGTTTTGAGCTGTACATCACAATATTGGAGTTGGAAGGAGTTCAGTGTAAACAGGAAGCTGGCCCAAAGAAGCAACATGGCTTGCTCAAGGTTGTCCTCTGAGCTGGGAACAGAGCCAGGAGGAAACTGAGCACCGCCTCTGCCCTCTCCTGCTTGTTTCCCACAGCCAGCGTCCTCTCCCTGAGCACACGACTGACCTCCAGGGTTGACTTCTTGCTGAGGTCCTAGGGCAGGATTTGGGGACCTTGCCTGCCCCCTGTTGCTAGGGCACTCCCACTTCCAGCCAAGAAGCCTGGGCCTGGCCTCCTACAGCAGTTTTCCTGTTTCCTAAGGCCTTCAGTATTCTGGAGAGAGCCAAGGAGAAGTTCAGCGTGGATGACTACTCCGTGAGCCAGATCTCGCTGGAGCAGGTCTTCCTGGGTTTTGCCCACCTGCAGCCGCCCACCGTGGATGAGGGGCGATGAGGAGAGGCCGTGTGGCGCAGGTGGGGACGGACAAGCTGTGTGCACTGTGCTTCCTCCCCCTCCAAGTTTATCTTATGCTTTCTTTTTAATCACTTTTTTTCTGTGATGGATATGAAAAAGTCAAGGCAGTATGCACAGAATGCACCACATGTCGGGGCTGCAGCTCCGGAATCAGCATGCGAACCTTCACTTCTGAAGGCCCACTCTGGAAGTCACACTCCTAGACCCATGGTGGCCAGGTGATTTGTGTGGGTCACCCAGGGGCTTTGGGTAGAGAGCTGTCCCTGTAAGGGAGTACGACTGAGCTGGGGGTTGAGTTTCTCCAAGTACCCATTAGAGAGAGGACCTGGTGACGTGTCTACATTGACATGTGCCATGGAGCAACCCTGGAGAGGAAACAGGAAGCCAGCCAGGATGAACTGCAGCAAAGTCCCCAGGCTGCCAAGAACAGACAGGAAAGCTGCAGATCACCATCCACGAAGGGAAGGTGCTGGCTGTGACCAGGCGCTGAGGTCTTAATCTCCAGCACAGCCCTGGAGGCCTCCAGAAAGTGCTGCTCCTTAGGACGTGGATGCCAGGCCAGGCCAAGCTGACCCCGAGCCAGGCATCGTCCCATGAGCACCTTCCAGAAGTAGCCAGCCCAGGGAGGGAATGCGGCCAAACTTGAAGCACAGTCCTCTGTTCCCAGCACTGCGCCTTCAGGAAGTCACCAGCCCCAGGACAGGCAGGGACCACTACAGGGCCTGGGTGGCTGTCTCTGGAGAATACACTGACCACATGTGACTCTGTCGAGAAAATAAAGGCTGAGGGAACACGATCACAGTCTGTGCCATACATGAGGGGGGTCACAGGGCTCAATCACTCACCCACAGTCCAAACATAAGGCTCTCCTTTCAGGTTTTAGACAGGAGCAGGAGCTCGCTTTTCCCAACTGGGAGGACCTGAGGTGAAGGAATGGGTCCAAAGCACAAATGAAAAAGCCAAATGGATACATACCCAGTGACAGAACTCAGTCTCCAACCAGGGAAAGGCACACAGTGTTGATGTGGGAGGCACAGGCCTGGGTGGGCAGGAGGCGTCTGACTCCAGGGCCTCCTATGGGCATTAAGCCACTTTCCAGAAGATTCTTTTTCAGCATCAGCTCCCTTTTATTTACACACTATTATTATTATTATTATTATTATTTGAGTTGGAGTCTCACTCTGTCACCCAGGCTAGAGTGCAGTGGTACACTCATGGCCACTCCAGTGTCAACCTGCTGGGCTCCAGCGATCCTTCCGTCTCAGCCTTCCAAGTAGCCGGAACTACAAACACGTGCTACCACGCCCGGCTAATTTTTTTTTATTTTTTGTACAGACAGGTCTCGCCAAGATGCCCAGTCTGGCGCAGTATTATCTTTTATGGTGATTTGACTCTGCATTTTACATCCCCTCAGAATTCAGAGTTTTGGAAAAAGCTTGTTTTCATCACTTTGGTTCTTTTGGAACCATTTCAAATCTGTGTTTTTATCAATAGCCTGTGGAAATTTATGAAAGCTGCAAATTGTTCCCAGTTTTGTTACCTTTAAAATTCTTTAATCTATCACTTAGTTCCATCTTATAAAAAATGAATGTAGGGGTGGTTGTGGTCTGAACACTGCCCAAGATAACAGGTTTGACATGAGCCACTCTGGTCCCACAGCCTGTTGGCAGGTGCTGTGCAGCCTCCGGGTCTGGCCAAGGGCTGAAAGGAGGGACAGAGATCAGCGCATGGGTCACCTGGCCTCACATCCACAGCCCTTCTGCAGGGTATCCTTGGACTTGGTTCTAAGCCCATGTTAGGGATTTAAGAACATGTCACTTTCCCTTTTGATACCATAGAAAAGGGTTGAGAGGCAGTTAGGACCAAAGCCCAAATGAGGTGCACACACGTGCAACCAGCGTGCACGGACAAGACAAGCGGGCAATATCACCCTCCCAAGGGCAGGATACTCCAGTGGCTCTTTACATTCCTAATAGGAAGATGACCTGCAGCTAAGAAGGGGATGAGGCAGGCACAGCCAAGGTCACTGCACGGGGACCGGGAGGGCAGGGGCAGTCGGGAGAGTCTAGAGGACTGGGGGTTTCTATAGGAGAGCCCAGGAGCATCGGGAAGGATCCCCCAGCATCCCCAGGGATGTCTTTGAGGCCACTGGAAACTCAATGCTGGAGCCGAGTCATGGGGTGTCTTGAGGAGCCAGGACTGAAGCACAGGATCCACCCCCAGGGTTTTGTTTGCATTGTGACAGTTCCAAGCCCACGGGAGGACAGGGAGCAGAAGCCATGGACCCAGGGATGAGAGTCTGGCCTGCTTTGTGCAGCCCACTCATGCTCACTTTGTAGCCCACACAGGCCCAGGCACTCTCTGCAGATGCTGTTCCCAAACGAGGCTGATTCCTGCCCTGCTCCCAGCTCAGTAGGTGAAATGAGACCTGGGAGACAAGGCTTTGCAGCACCTGAGTGTTCTGCCCCCATCCTGTCCGGTCCAACAGTGTGGCTCAACTGAAACACTCAGACAATGGTCACTGCACCCAGAACTCAGGGAGGGCACTGGGGGGCTGGGGAAGACCCTGCTGTGGGGCAAACCCAGACTGAGCCCCTCCACTGCCATCCTAGGTTTAAAGGGAAGCAGAGGGTGCAGGCAGGCTGAGGCAGCGAGAGTCACAGTCAGGGGACCCACCCTCAGGCCACAAGTACAGGCTTGCTGCATGTTATCAGAAAATCCTTTTCACAGTGGTTTAAAAATGACGTTTATTCCTCAGCTGTGTACAACATCCAGAGAAGGCAGTCCAGGCTCTGTCACCTTCAGAATTTCAAGTAGCCAGGCTCCATCCACCTGCTCTGCCATCCTGCTGTGGGGCTCCCTCCCAAGGTCTTTCAGGGTCTGGAATCAGCAGGAAGCGGGGGGGGGGGGGGGGGGAACTCAGCTGACCTGAAACCTTCAGACAGCTCCTGGATGTTACTGGCTTATGTGCCTGGTCTTCCTCATAGCATGTGGCAACACCAGGTTCAGGGAAACCCAGATGCTAGGACCGACAGCAGGTTCCACAATCACAGGGCAGGATCTGTGTACTCTAGGAGGCAGTCCCCATCCCACCCTGTACCCACCTGAGCTGATAAGACTCCATCTCACTCAGGAAACACCCAGGAAGCAAAATGGTCACACCCTAGGCCTGCCCCAGGTCCTCCATGGAATGCCCTGGCCCTCTGGTTGCGGGGACTAAGAAAAGCAAAGCAGGTTGGTTGCAGTGTCTCACATCTGTAATCCTAGCACTTAGGAAGGCTGAGGAGGAGGATCACTTGAGGTCAGGAATTCAAAACCAGCCTGGACAACATAGCAAGACTTTGTCTCTACCAAAAAAAAAAGTTTTTAATCAGGTAGGCATAATGAGCTGTAGTCTTAGCTACTCAGGAGGATAAGGTGAGAGGATCACGTGAGCCCAGGAGTTGGAAGCTGCAGTAAGCTGAGACTGTGCCACTGCACTCCAGTCTGAGTGTCAGAGTAGGACCCTGCCTAAAAAAAAAAAAAAGCCACCAGGATGGTTTCCTGCTGGGCAAATTCCATTGCAGATCTCTAGCCCAGGATTTTAGGTGGAGCCCTGGGGTGTCACCTGAGTTCTGAGGCTCCAGGCCTGGTTCTGAATGCAGCTGGCAAGACAGAGGCAGGAAGCCCAGCGACATAGGGTGAACTAAGGCCAGACAGAGGACCCAGGCCCAGCAACATGCTGCCTGGGAATGACCATACACATGGGGGCCGAAGCTGGTCTGCCTCCACCCTCCCAACCTGGCCCCAGGGCAGTGTGACGTGACACCTGCAGGGAGCACCTAGGGGTATGGAGAGAGAATTCTGCCAGGCCAGCCAGGGGCTAGAACCACAGCCAGGCCAGCTGTTGCTGCCCCATCCGAGGAACACCTCACCCAGCTACCACTAGCTCAACCCTGGGGTCAGCATGAGGCTTATGGTGTTAGCTGGACCTTGGGACCCCCAGTCCCACACAAGCCGGTCCATGTGAAGGCAATGCCTGTCGAGAGCCTGCCAGGTTGCATTAAAGGCCAGAGCCTCCAGCAGGCAGAGGCTGTGTTCAGCATGGAGATGGGCCACTCTGACCGGGCTGCTCACCCCAGAACATCCCTCCCGCCACACTGTCCACACCCTAGCTCAGGTCTGACCCAAACCCTAGGATGCTGGGAAAGCTCTTGAGCCACTCCCCCACAGAGGAGCTGCCCACAGTGAGTGGGGCTACAGGCTGCCTGAGAAGAAAGAACAAGGCCTCCTCCTAGTCACACAGGCCCCATCAGCCCTTCTGCACCTCCTGGGGTGGGCAGGAGTCCCCTCCTCACCTGATGGGACTTCATGACTGGGCTTCAGGCAGTGAGGAGGCTGAAGCAGTGGGGTCAGGCCCGGGGAGCGGGGGCCCTGCCTTCCTTCCTCAACACACTGGACTGCCCAGGCCCCGCTCCTGGGGCCCAGCCCACACCCCAGACGCTGGCATCAGATGCCTCAGGGTCGGAGAAACTCCATGTGAAACAGCTGCTGCTGGCACCAAGTCTGGACAACACCACAACCTCGCAGAGGCTTGTCCAGTACATCAATTCCTTGTCCCGCCTCCAGTGCTCAGCCAGCACCCCCCACCCAAGAGGCACCCCAAATGGACGGCTCAGGTGCATGATCCTTGACCCTCCTGGCAGCAATGCACATGTGGCCTTGAGAATGAAGAGAGGCACAGGCTCCCAAGCCCACCACTCAGCAGCCCCACCCCTGGGAGAGTCCCCACGTGCCTGTGGAGGAGCCCCAGGCCCTGACACCCCCCCCAAGAGATGCAAACCTGGAGCCCAGGAGGACTCTCCCAGCTGCCCGAGCTCATCCCAAACCAGCACCTGGCTGCCCTTTCAGACCCCGCTTGACCTCCAGACAGGCCAGCCAGTGTCCTCCCAGCCCCACCCTCCTCAGACAGGCGTCCATCCGGCCTTGGTGACTGGCCCCTCAGCAGGCCGCAGTTCCTCTTCTCATGACCCTCCTAAGGTCACAGGTCATCACCTTCTCTTCCACCTGGCTGGGCCACATCTGCACTTGGCAGATGGGTGTTAGCAATGGGTATAAGTGCTTTCTTGACCTGATTTACAAGGGGCCACAATGCCTGTCCAAAGTTCCTGGTGGCCCACTGTGACCTCCACCACAACCCAAGTTGTCCCTGACCCTCTCAGTATTCCAGGCCATCAGCTGCTGAGAGTGGGCACTGCAGTGGCTATAGGACCCACAGAGGATGAAGGCAGGGAGAACATTCTGCCTTCACACAGGCATGTTCTCAAAGTTAGAGCAGCCCCAAATTGTCAACAGGTGACCCTCAGTTCTGGGAAAGCAAGGAACAGGGCTCAGGGCACTGGCCAGAGCCCACAGGATATCTGTGGTGCATGTGGCCCTGTCCACAGGAGCCCGGCCCTTCTGCCTCCGGTAAACCAGGGCCAAAGACTCCCGAGGTTCCCACAAGCCCCAGCTCCGGTGCCCTTAGCATCCTTGGTCTTAGCAGGCTGGCTTTGGGGCTGGGGTGGAGAAGCCAGAATTCCTGGAAGTATAGGGCTGGGAGCGCCAGAGTTTTATTTTCTTACATTTCTTCTAAACATGTTTCTGTTGATCCTCAAAATGGCAAAAGCCAGGATGCTCAATTCTTTATTTTGTTTATTTCTTTTGATTTGAAGTCTTACTCTGTCGCTCAGACTGGAGTGCAGTGGCACACTCAGTCAGCGCAGCCTCAACCTGCTGGGCTCCAGTGATCCTTCCACCTCAGCCTTCCAAGTAGCT